TTACTGATATTAGGCAAAAGTTGGGGATGGATTGTTGCATAACCAATCAATGGAGTTTCATTTGGGTGTTTTACCAGTCTTTGTTTAATTGGCAAAGTGTCAGGGAGTCGCCCCAATATTTAACTATTCAAGTACAATCGCATCTTTTTCCAGAGTCCATTAATTTGTCATATATACATGCTAAGTGCACGGATCAAGAAAGGGAGGATTTGTGGAGTGCCCTATTGAGGGATAAACCTACCTTGACTCCGTGGTTTTTGGTGGGCGATTTCAATGTGATCACGAGTGCGGGGGAAAAAAGGGGTGGTCGACCATTTAGACCGTCAGAAGGATTGAATTTTTTGAATTTCATGTCAATGACGGGAGTAAGTGACGTGAGGTTCACTGGATCAAGGAATACTTGGTGCAATAATCGCTTGGGTGCAGCTCGAATTTGAAAGCGACTTGACAGACTACTAATAAGTGGGTTAGCTTTGGAGATGCAGCAACAAGTCATGGTCCGACATTTGGGACGTAATCCGTCGGATCATTCTCTGCTGTTACTCTCAGTGGCTACGAGGATGGATAATAAACCCAGGCCATTTCGCTTTTTGAATGTTTGGACCATACATAAGGACTTGTTGGTGGTTATTAAGGATTGCTGGTCTGAGTTGATCAGTGGATCTCCCATGCATATACTGGCAATGAAGTTACGGATGTTAAACAAGCTCTTAGACAATGGTTGGTGATATTTTTGAGAGAGCTCGCCGTGCTGAGCGCGAGGTAGTGGATGCCGAGATGCAATACGACCTGGATTCGACGGATCATCTGCGTTGCGAATTACATCATGCTCAAGTGCGGTTGCAACGTGCACTGACAATTGAGGAGGGATATTGAAGGCAAAAAGTGCAGGTGAAGTGGCTTTTGGATGGGGACAAGAACTCCAAGTTCTTTCTTCTCTCATTGGTAGCAGAAAGGAGATGTCGAGCGGTGACTCAGCGAGTTAGGATAACGGATGGAGAGTGGATCGATGGGGAGCCACAAATTGGGGATGCTGTCATGAGGTTCTTCCAGAAGCTTTTCACGGCAGAGGTTCTTCCAGAAATTTTGGAGATCATTCCGAAACTGATCACTGATCAGGACGATTTGCTGTTAACGGAGATTTCCTCTCTTACAGAAGTCAAGACCACAGTCTTTGCAATGGATGAGGAGAGCGCAGCGGGATCGGATGAATTCACAGGGAAGTTTTTTACCTTTGTATGGGAGGTGGTAGCCACGAATGTGTACAGGGCAGTAATTAGCTTCTTCTGCGGTTTTGAGCTCCTTAGGAGTATCACGGCTACTTCGATTGTTCTATTGCCTAAGGCGAAAAACCCCCAAGACTTCACTCAATTTTAGTCGATAAGCCTATGCAATTTTGCTAATAAAATCATCTCTAAGCAGCTATCGGAGAGATTGGCTAAGCTACTACCCCGGATCATATCTCCACAGCAGAGCGATTTTGTGCAAGGGAGACAGATCGTGGATAATTTCTTGTTGGTTCAGGAGTTATTAACAAATATCAAAAAGTCAAATCGGGATGGTAACATGGTGATTAAATTAGACATGATGAAAGTGTATGATAGAGTCTCATGATCCTTTCTTCTACAAGTGCTTCGATATTTCGGGTTCAGTGAGATCTGGATAGACATGATTTGACGCCTAATCTCCAATGTTTGATTTTCAGTATTGATTAATGGCACTCCACAAGGCTTTTTCAAGTCTTCACGGAATTTACGACAAGGGGATCCCATTTTGCTGGCCTTATTCGTTATTGGAGCAGGGGTGCTATCCCGACCTCTAAATGCGTTAGTCACACTGAGGGGTTTCACCTCTTTTAAAGTACCTCCTCGGTGTCCTGTAGTATCGCACTTGGCGTATGCCGATGATGTGATCATATTTTTCAGTGATGGGAGATCTTCTCTGAAATTGATTAAAAGGGTATTGGAAGAATATAGTGCTGCATCGGGTCAGCGGATCAATCCCCAAAAAAGTTGTTTCTTGACTCCTCTGCAGCTTCTATCATAGAAGGCAGCAGTGATTGGCCAGGTACTTGGGTTTCAAAAGCGAGCTTTTTCGATGTGATATCTAGGCGGCTTGCTGTATATAGAAAGACGGAAAAAGACTTACTATGCAGATACATATAATGCGGTGGCAACTCGTATCCTGTCATGGAAGAATCAGATTTTGTTAGTTGGGGGTAAAGTGGTACTGATTAAGAGTGTGTTATCATCAATGCCGATCCATTTGATTGCCGCTTTCTCTCCTCCAAAGGGGATATTCATGGCATTGGAGAAGTTATTCGCTAACTTCTTGTAGGGGTTGTCTGAGTCTGGGGCTAAATTCCACTGGATGCGGTGGGAGGATTTGTGTCGACCATAGGAAGAGGGGAGTATTGGTCTACGGGGGATTAAAGAGGTCTATGATTCATTCTCAATTAAACTTTGGTGAAATTTCGGCAATAGCAGTCGCTATGGGTAGAGATTATGTCAAGGAAATATTGAACGGAGCTGCATCCTTGTCTAGCTGATGAAAGTCATTGGAGATCCCATACATGGAGGAGGATGGTCACGGTGCAGCGAGTAAGGGAAGACAACATTAGGTGGATCGTACAACAAGTTTTGATGAATTTTTGACACTACAACTGGATGGATTCAAGAGTGTTATGCAACAAGGTAGAAATCTTTCACGACCATGTGGTGGCTAATTTTGTCGATCAGGGGGCTGGAATGTTACCATGCTTAATCAGTATTTGGAGGAGGATATGGTCAGGCGAGTTCTGGAGATTGCACCCCCATCCTTTCGAGGCGTGTATAGAATGGTTTGAACATTGACAAATTCTAGCACCTACTCTACATCATCGGCATACTCACTGGTCCGGCGGGTTACTAACAACTCATGATTTTCTACCTTTGTCTGGTAGAAGGGTCTTCCAATAAAAATCTCTTTCTTTATGCTACGATTGTTGCAGAGAAGGCTCCCTCTTATGGACCAATTAAAGAGATTTGGGATGAGTGGCCCCTCTAAATGTTGGTATTGCCAAGATCCACGGGAGGAAGGCCTGAATCATGTTTTTTGTTCAGGGGAAAGGGCAAGATTGGTCTGGCATTATTTCGAGATTGAAGCTAGAGAAATGGTAGGGGTGAATACGGTGCGACATATGGTGTGGTCTTGGTGGTTAAGGAGGGGAAATAACATATATTGAAAGTTTTTGAGTAGTATTCTTCCGTCGGTGATTTGCTGGGAATTATGGAAGGCAAGGAATAAGGAGGTTTTTGAAGGATGAAGGATAAGGGTCATAGAGACGGTGAGTCGAATAGTCCAGCTGTTAAATGACATTTTTCATGGTCAGTTCCTAAGGTTGCAGTGGTCTGATTTATCATGGGAAGGGATGCTTCGCGCTTTGGGCAACCGACAAAAGAGGATGATTATTCAACCAGTTAGACGGGTGTCCCCGCAAGGGCGCTACAAGTTAAATTCAGATGGGTATTCTCGGGGAAACCCGGGAGTGAGTGGAGGGGGTGGTCTAGTGCGTGATCGTCAAGGAAATTTTGTATTTTGGTTATTCGGAACACTTTGGGATAATGACCAGCCTGCATGTGGAGCTTCGAGCGCCGCTGCTTAGCGTTAAATACTGTGTTGCTCGAGGGCTCTTGGAGTTACACTTAGAGGCTGATTCTCTTACCCTAATTCGGATCGTTCAAGGGGTTAGTGCTTGCCCATGATAGTTGCAAAGGGAGTTGGATGAGTTGCTTATATTTAAACAGAATTTTCACACGGTATCACATTGTTACAGGGAAGCAAATGCACTGGCTAATCGTCTTGCAAATATTGGAGCTGACTCTATCGAAGGACAGGTGTTTAACAGGTTTTCGGATCTACCTCGATTGGTCAAGAGGGAGATTAGAATGGATAAGTTGGAGTTTCCATCGTTTCGTAGACGGGTACCTGGTTATCTGTGAATGAATCCATCCGGTGTAAGCATGATTTCAGTATTAATGGAAAGTTCAATTAAAAAAAACAACTTTGACAAGGCATTGTCGAATTCCTAGGTCAATAATGTTCAACAGTTACATATATTTGTCGTAATTTTTTGCAAGCTGCTGCAATGCGTGTCTATTAGATATAATATAGAATAGATTAAGGCATTAAAAAAATTGTTATTTGTATTACTTTTATCTCATATTTATAGTGTAGAGTTAATTTTTACACTTGTAATAGTCTAAAAAATAAAGAAGTTCAAAAATCATCGGTAATTGACAATTTTTCCTATGGGTTCGACCCTTAATACCCTATATTCAATTACGGCTCATATACTTGCGAAAAATCTTATGCATGGTATTTAGAAATTCATAAATGTAAAACTTGATTGTGGATGAGTTAATTGTTATATGTATACCCCGCACTCATCAATATTTTGGTGCCGTTGCCGGGAAAAATTTAGCAATATCGATGTTAAGAACTACTTTATTAATTTAGACAATTGTACTTGTTTTTGTTGTGTCTAGTGTCTTAATTGTTATTTTTTTTATGCCGCCACAACAGCGACAGTCCAAGAGTAAACTAGCATCGCCTTTTACGGAAGCTAGGAAATCCTAGTCTATCCAGACGTATTTCACCACGGACCAAGGGAGATACCTTGTCAAAGGAGGTAAACACAGAGTCCGCTCTGCTGACGGCCCCCAATTTGGCCAACCTGTCTGAAGGCTTGTTAGACTCTCTGTAGCAATGCATAATCGACAACTGAGGGAAATATGCATCCACAATAGCGACAGTCCAAGAGTAAACTAGCATCGCCTCCTGCAGAAGCTAGGAAATCCTAGTCTATCCAGACGTATTTTACCACGGACTTAGGGAGGTACCTTGTCAAAGGAGGTAAACACAGACTTCGCTCCGCTGACGGCTCCCAATTTGGCCAGCCTGTCTGAAGGCTTGTTAGCCTCTCTGTAGCAATGCGTAATCGACCGAAACATCCGCCTATGTCACATCAGACCCTCCACTTCCTTCTGTAGCCACCAAGGACAAGCCTGATCACCTGATATGATTCGAACCAAGGATAACGAGTCCACCTCCAGATGTACCTCTAAATACCCCCTAGCAATGCACTGTTGCACCCCATGAGCTAGCGCCTTCAACTCTGCGTGCAGGCTTGTTATGAAACCTAAGGAACACGAAAATGCCAGGACAAAGTCTCCCTGAGAATCCCGAAGCACTCCCCCGCCTCCACTCACCCCTGGATTCCTCAGAGAACGTCCATCCGTATTGAGCTTATATCCCCCACCTGAGGCCACCCACTTAACCTGCAGAACGGTGACTGTTGTCGGACGAGCCACTAGGGTCTCCCACGAACCACCGGGCCACGCTATTGTTGGGAATTGTACCCCAAATAACTCCCACATCCTGACTAGGACACGGCTAGCCACACCTCCCCCCGTTGTCCTTCCCCCATTCATTAACGCCCTATTTCTTGCACACCACAATTCCCAATAGATGACCGAAGGGAGCACACGATACACAAAGGTCACATACCGCTGCTGTGTCGGTCGGCTCCACCACGACATCGCTATGTGACGGACCGAGCTGATACGGTCCGAAGCCCCCGCTTGAATCTCAAATGTCCTCCATACCTGTCGGGGTGGTATCCCCCATGCAAAAGAAATGATTCAAGCGTTCCTCTTGGGGAGTCGTGCAGCAAAAGCATCTAGATGGCCCGTGGACACCCAACTGTCGCAACTGGTCCATTAAAGGCAACTTGCTCGATAACAAGCGGAGCATGAAAAACGAAATTGTGATAGGCAGAGACTCATGCCAAACGGAGATGACCCCTAATGATCTATTTGAGTAGCCCCGAACGACCGCCACGGCTGAAGAAACTGTGAACTCCCCACTGGGGGTTAAACTCCAAACCATCATGTCTTCCCCCAGCAGGGGTGGCAGCCTACAGGACATAACCCGCCGCACAAGCTTCGGTTACAACACCTGTGAGAGAGAGCGGCTGTCCCACTCCGCTTCCATCACAAAATCCACTACCCGGTAATTCTAAAATTCCTTCACACTTCTGCAAAGCAGGCCCAACCAGTTATCGTGCCAGAAGTCCATAGCTCCTGCCCTTACAATCCACCCTATATGCTCTTTCGTGATCCCTTGGACCTCGCACATCCGTCTCCATGTGAAGGAAGGACCCAATCTCTCCTCTGCCAAACAAGGATACCTGCCCCTACAGTATTTGGAAGCCATGAACGAGGCCCAGAGGGAGAGTCCCTGCCTAAACTTCCACCACAACTTCATGGAGAAGGCCTGGAACACCTCCGACAAACGCCGGAGACCCAGACCCCCTTCTTCCTGCGGCCGACACAAAGCCTCCCACTTCATCCAATGAAACTGTGGACCATACTCCGACTCGCCCCACAAGAAAGCCGCCATAGATCTCTCCAGCTCCCACAGGACCGCCTTAGGGGACGCCGCTGTTGCCAATAGGTGTATTTGCATGGAGGATAGAATGTGCTTGAGAAGGACCACCCTCCCCCCTGGAGATAGGATACGATGCTTCCAAGGTAGGATCCTTTGAACCACACTGTTACACAGCTCCACAAAGTGGTCCTTCTTCCGTCTACCCAACACCAATGGACACCCGAGGTACCTGACTGGGAACTCTCGCTTCCGAAACCCTGTCACTTGCTCGATAATCCTACTGCGGTGTAACCCAAGTCGTGGGTGCACTAAGAAACAACTTTTCTGTTGGTTGATCTTCTGTCTCGACACTGCACAATATCCCTCTAGAACCCACATAATAGAGCGCAAAGAAGACTTCAACCCACTCTTGAATATGACCATATCATCTGCAAAAGACAGATGAGTAACGGTCGGGCACCCAAGAGGAACCTTGAAAGGTTGGAACTGGCCCTGACCAACTAAGGCATTCAAAGCCCTAGAAAGAGCATCAGCGTCGATTACGAATAAGGCCGGAGAAAGAGGATCCCCCTGCCGCAATCTACGCGTGGAGTGGAAGAAGCCTTGAGGCACGCCGTTGACCCAAACAGAGAATCAGGCGTTCGAGACCAATCACCATATAGCATCAATCCAGGTCTCAGAAAATTCAAAACGCCTCAACACTTACAAGAGGAAACACCAGGACACATTGTCATAGGTCTTCATCATATCCAGTTTGAGGACCACATTCCCCCCACAGGATACTTTCCCAATATCCGTCACCAGTTCCTGTGCATGTAGGAAATTCTCCAATATCTGACGCCCTTTACCGAACCCACTCTGCTGGGGAGAGATGATTCGGGGTAGGAGATGAGCTAGTCGAGCCGAAAGAATTCAGGAAATCACTTTATTGACAAAGTTACACAGGCTAATCGGTCAGAACTGCGTGAAATCCTGAGGTACGGGCACCATAGGAATCAGGACTAAGGACGTTGCAGTAATACTATGAGGCAACTCGGCCCCAGTGAAAAAGCTCAGAACGGCCTTGTGAACATCCTCTGCCACTACTTCCTATGCAAAGGTGAAGAACCTGCCTGTAAACCCATTCGGTCCTGCCGCGCTCTCCCCGTCCATGGAGAATACCGCCTCTTTAACCTCATCCATGGCGGGGGGTTCCATTAGTTTGGAGTTATCGAGGTCCATCACTAGCTTGGGAATAGCGTCCAAGAACCCGCATGTACAAGAAGGATCTGACTTTGCCGTGAAGAGCTATTGGAAGAAGGAAATCGCCTCCTTACTGATGAGCTCTTCAGATTCCATCCACTCTCCATTGGAGGCTCGGATCCGATGAATAATCGATCTGCACCTGCGCTCCGCTACCACCGCATGGAAATACTTGGAGTTATGATCCCCATCCCTCAGCCACTTAATCCTCACATTCTGTCTCCAAAAACCTTCCTCAACAGCTAGCTTGTTCCTCAATCGCGCGCAGGTTTCATGTAACCAAACTAGGGCATGCTCTGACGGATCCTGCTCGTGAACCACTTCTGCCTCCATCACCACCCTCTCCACCTCTTTTACTGCCTGAAATATATCACCAAAGGGCCCCCTGGACCAACTCTTAAGAACCTGCTTGATTGCACGTAACTTAGACGCCAGCACCCCTAGGGGAGGGCCAGACGACTCGCTTGGCCACCCCTTCCGAATGACATCGAGCAACCCCTCTCTGGTGGTCCACACATTTAAGAATCGAAATGGTTTAGGCTTGTTGTCTAACCTTGTAGACGCAGTCAGTAGTAGTGGGGCATGATTAGATGGATCTCTCGCCAAATGCTGCACCTGAATATCAGATCCCATACGGAGCGCTTCCAAATTGAGGAGCATCCGATCTAGAAGCTTCCATATCCGGGCCCGCCCCTGCCTATTGTTGCACTAGGTAAAGTTTGACCTAGAGAACCCTGCGTCGAGGACTCCAGACTCCATCATGAAATGCAAAAAATCCATCCCTTCTGACAAGCGGAACAGCCGCCCCCCTCGCTTCTCATCCTCATTGACTATTACATTAAATTCCTAACTAAGAACCAAGGGATGGCGGCCGGCTTGTCCGCCACCAAGCTTACCCATAACCCCTCACGTTCTTGAACAGTTCATCTAGCATGAACAAAAGAGAAGCAAATGACAGATGGGAATAAAGGACAGTGAAAATTCAATGAGACATGCTGACACGACTCACCCACTTTGACATAGGAAAGTGGCAATTTATAGAAAATCCAAATAGTCCCCCATTGGTTAGAGATACTAAGGTCCATACCCAACTTCAGCCGTACACTATCCATATTACCTAAGTCCACCTTGGGTTCACAAATTGTTACCGTCTGGAGAGAGTGGATTTTAACTAGTTTTTTAAGTCGTCTTAGGTTTAGGACCCGAGTAACACCTCGTATATTCCAACAGAGCGCTTTAAACATCGGATAAGAGGGAGAAGGAATTTTGTGACCCCAACTTACTTGATTGTAAGGTGTGGTCCGAGGGAAACCGAGCCCGTACACCATGCTGCTTGGGTTGCTCGGCTCCTGAGGGACTTGATTCCAGATTCGTGTGACATAGAGAGTTCCCTGTCACCGAAATTGAATCAAGGTGCAACCTATCTGAGATCGATGCCCTGCTTCTTAGGGGCTAGTCCGCTCCATTACCTCGCGGAGAAATATCTCCAAACCTCCCCTGTAACTCCCGAAAATCCTCCCTAAACTCTCTATCCGTCTCCAGCCCCACGCTCTACTGCCTCTCCTTATCTTGCCCCTCCTCTACATCCCCACCATTCTCCATCTCCTGCACCCCGACATGCACCTGCTCACCACCCACGCCTAGTGCACACTTCACTAGCTGCTCATGCTTCTCTTACTGCCCCTCACCTTCCTTCCCTTGTCGCCCTTCCTCCATCAAAGCCCTATCCGCCATTTCTTGAAGAATACCCTCAGCAGCCTGGGTAATAGCTTCCTCCACCATCGTCTCCACAGCCTGCATGGGAAGCCCTTCCAGGAGAATGCATCCTGTTGGGTCTGCTGAGCGCACACCTTATCGACGCCAACCCCCACAGATACCCTATGGCCGACCCCATCACTGTCAACGCCCCACCCTGCTGAACCTCCTTTGCGCGCTGCTCCTCCTGCTCCACAATCTGCCTGGTGAGGCCATCTAGGGTAAGAGACTCCTGCTTGGGCTGGCGCACCCGCACTGCCTGCACCTGTGCGTTACCCGCGGCCACCCCGTGGCCGTCACCCATTAGCAGCAGCACCTCGCCATGTTGCCCCGCCTTTGCTCGCTGCTCCTCCTGCTGGGCAACCCCTCGACAGATCACCTCCTCCTCTGCTGCTCTGTCGCCACGCTACCAGACCCTGGCAAAGAAGACGGAGCATTCCCCTCCTCTCCTGCTGGGTTTCCCCGTGCCGCGCCCCGCGCCATATTTGACTTACCTTGCGGCCGAGTCTCAGTGCCTTCCTCCCGTAGCCCCCTATCCCTTGGAGCCTGCCCAGCACCCACCACCACACGTAGGTCTGGATGTCTAACCGGACAATCCGCCTCAACATGTCCCTGCCGAAAACAGCCGATGCAATATTGCGGTAACGATTCTGGCTCCAGCATCTGCCAGAACCCTTCTTCCTCCCCAAACCCAAAACCCACCCAGACCCTTCTAGGCAGTGTCCTCATCAGCTCCACTTCAACACACACTCACGCAATACTTGGACGAGATAGCGCGCTCGTAGCCACATCCATGAATAATGGTCTGCCCAACGGGGAAACAATGTGAAAGAGACACTCTTTGTTGAAAAGGTGAATAGGTAGCTTTGGAAGAGAGAACCAGACAGGAGCTATCGATGGTTCTTTGTCAACATGGAAGGATGGCGTCCACTTGAAGACCCATATTGGGCGCCCCTTAACATACCAAGACTGTCGACCCCAAAGTCTGTGGAAATCATGCTCAGAATTTAGGCGTATTATCACATATCGGTGATCCAAAAGACCTGCCGAGAAAGCAGCCTTCAAATCCAAAGTGGTGAAGAAGTTTCGGACCTCCTCCAGAGTCGGCCGCCCCCTGGAGAACTTACCAACCAATGCAAGATGAAACGGCGCT